AGAGAGGAAGTCGTCGCTTGTCTTCTTTTTTCCAGTTCAGCGGCAGAGATCGGCTTGTCACTCTGAATTCCTGCATGCAGAGTGCTGTCATCAGCGAAGCTGTGGATTGGGTTGATCGTGCAGGAAAGGAGGTCGTTGACATGTAAGAGAAGCAGTGTCGGAGCCAAGACCAATGCCTGGGGAACACCGGCGTTGACGTTGTGGTATGAAAAGGAGAACCCGTCCATTACGACGGATATCTTGCGGCCAGAGATAAATTCAGTCACCCATCTGCAAAGCTTCTCTGGGAGGCCATAGGATGGAAGTTTGCTTAAGAGGGTAGCGTGCCACAGCTGATCGAATGCTTTCGTGATGTCAAGAGCAACGACATGAGCCTTACCATAAGACTGGATGAGTTTACTCCACAATTGCGTGATATAAGCTAGGAGGTCTCCTGTGGGTCGTTGGTGCCGGAAACCATACTGCCTGTCGCTAATCAAGCTGTGATGTTCGAGGTAGCCCAGAAGCTCGCGATTTATGCACCTCTCCATTACCTTACTTATAACAGAAAGCAGAGCTGTAGGCCTGTAGTTGTAAGGGTCGGTCTTAGATCCTTTCTTTGGGATGGGTTGGACATGAGCAAATTTCCAGTTTTCTGGGAAGGTTCCGGATTCATAAGATATTTGAAAGAGACGCGACAAAACTGGATCAAGCTCCGCTGCACACCTCTTCAGTACAATCGCAGGAATCAAGTCGTTGATGTAGAGCGACAAGAGTACTCGTCTTAGGGTCTTATGCCTGAGTGTTACCTCCCGCATAGTGTAGGGAACCCTTTGAATTGACGGCACTTGGGCGTTCGGGGGACGTCCATCGTGGAGTTGGCAGCAAAGATCTTGGCTAGCACTTCCGCCTTGGCCTTTCAGTCGAATACAATAGTTCCATCCTGATACGTACGTGAGAAGTTCTTTTCAATCTGCTTGGCCAACGTCCAGAAAGACCGACTGCCATTGCGCTGCGACATTACCCTGTGCCTAACCTTCATATCGTGCTGGTTTTTCGCATTGCGAACCGCTTCCTTATATTTGTTTCTGGATTCGACGTCGACTTGTCCGTCCTCTACAGTGGGGTCTCGTAAGAAGGTTTTGTGTGCCTTGATCTTCTGCTGGCGAGCAATGTCACTTTCACTGTGTGAGGGATGTATTCCTCCATTCCGATGTGGATAATTTCGCTTATCGAAGAACAGACAGCTGACGCATCCGCGTCAGTGAAACAGACGTCTCTCCAAGGAAAGCTAGAGAAGAAGTCTCTGAGCCCCTCCCAGTCGGCATGTCCGTAATGCCATGTTTTGCGGCCTGTACGAGTTTCTGCTGCCACAGCGGGTTCTGACCGAAACCTAACCTCCACAACACCGTGGTCTGAGTTACCCAGGGGGGACAGGACAGTAGTGCTTTAAGGGACAGGATGGGTGGTCAGAGAGAGATCCAGCAGGCTACTGGTGTGTGACGAGACGCGGGGGAAAAAAGTAGGGCTCGTCACCAGCTGGGTCAGCACTTGAGTAAGAGCGAACGCTTCTACTGCACGACCTGTTGCATCGGTCTTGTTTGAGACCAACCAAAGCTCATTGTGGGCATTGACATCACCGAGAAGAACTACCACTGAAGCGGGGTGATTGATGTTCAGGAAGTCGATCTGAACGGCGAGGTATTCGAGTAGGTCATCCCAGTTATGGTCCGAGGGAGAGCGATAAAGGCAGCAAATAAATTTGGGTGATGTTTTGGAGTTGAAGAGAAGCCACAGAATGTCCTTCCGGTCTGATTCCAAAGAAACATCTCTGGAGCAGAAAAGACTGCTGCGGACAAAAGCCACAACTCCCCCGTTCTTTCTCAGATTGGAGTGCATCTCGTATTTTGGGAAGTTAAGATGGTTAATCGGTGCAGACTCTGACATTTTTGTCTCCGCCAAGAAAAGCATGGCGGGACGATTGGATTGCAGGTAGTGATGAAAAGCATCAATGTTGCTGTTAATCCCGCAGATGTTCGAAAAACAAATTTTATCTTCGATGTTGTTCCCTCGAGCCCACCCTCCACCCGGACATTCCGAGAGTGGAGTGAGTTTACGTCCGGAGTTCTTAGTGTTCGAGGGATCCATCATCATCAATTTCTTTATTTTGGAAGATAACCGACTGCATAGCTTAGGTGTGGAAACATGGGGACACATTTATAAGACACCCTAGGAGAAGCTAGCGGGTGGTACCGCCTCGGCCGACGGTCCTTGTCTACCACCTTCTTTTTACGTGTTAGTGATATTAAATAGACCTAAAGTGGCCCGTTGGCGGACTTGTACCGCCACTCGGCAATCGGTTACTGAGGTATTCCTTAACGCGTGTACAACCACTTGAACAGGAAGAAGTTGTATACTGGACACAACAACATCCGGAACAAGCATTTGCCACGGCCCCGCTCAGTGTATTTCATTTTTCGACAGTACCCTCAGTGTGTTTTCTCAAAAAGAAATGTCTCCAGTGGCAATAATTCCCTCAGGAGTACCCCGGGCTCTGTTATTGGGGCCCAGCTGTTCCTCATATATAGGTACGATCGACTTAAGCAAAAGTATTTATAATTCTCATGTCCAGTCATTTGCGACGACACGCAGTTGCTCCATTATTTTGACCCAGATAATGTCAATAATACTACCCAAATTTACAAAACGATGTTAGTAAATTAATTAAATACGCTTCACATCACAATCTACTTATTAATCCACAAAAATCTAAAATATTATTTTGCGCACAAAGAAAAACATACAGTATAACACAGCTCTCAAACATTCAGATAAATAATCAAATTTAGCTAAAAACGTTATTCAAGTTATTCAATACAGTTGGATACGTTTAATCTTTAGTTTACGTAAATTTGATCATGTATCAGCGAAATATCCCGTTCTAAACTGGTTAAAAATTAATGACATGGTCAAGTATCACTATTCAGTTTTTGTTCTCAAGTGGCTACTCACGTCTAATCCCTCTTACTTGAGGGAAAAAAATTATTTATATAATGATATAATGATGTTCACTGTAGAACTCTCAGAGAAAATAATATTAGAATATCCCAACAGACGTCTACACTTTTTAAATGCAGTTTTTCCTATAATGTTTCTACGTATATTATTTATAATGACCTTCCTAAAGTATATGAAGAATTTTGATTACCCGTCTTTCGACAACAAGCTAAAACAATATTACTCAACCCTCCAAACATATAATTTGCATAATCATGCATATCTTTTTCACTCCTTTAATTCAGGTGGATAATTTTTGGTTTACTTGCGTTTGGAAAGTATGCCTTTTTATTTTTTACTTTCGATGTAATGAACCAAATCTGTTTGTGGATAGTGTACGAGTATACTCCTGAACATCTGCTAGCGACTATATGGTTAAGTGTAAGAGTAGCAGCATGCTAAACCTCGCCATGTATTATTATTATTATTATTATTATTATTATTATTATTATTATTATTATTATTTGCTGTTACTTTAACTTTGATCTCCATATTTTAAAGTACTTTTTAGCTCATGTCCGTGTAGCAAACCGTACGAATTGACATATTCCTCCCCTACTTGAACCGAAGCCATCGCCATTCAGAGCCCTGCGTTTCCTCATAGGGCCCTCTGAGAGCCCTTCGTCTGCCTGTACAGTTCCGGATTATACTTTAATTGATTCGAGCACGCAGTCCAAGCTCTCCGAAGCGGAAACTCCCTATCATTGTGCTCTCTGTATATCCCTAATCATTATCTCTGGCTATGCACTCCTTAATTGTGTCTTTCATCCGGCCCATGGATGCCGCACGATTCTTCCAAATTGGCGGGTAAAATCGATCAGCTGAGCAATTCGAATTCCGAAAAGCAGGGGACGTGTGTTCTGTAATTGGATGTCTTACGAGGTTAGGGTCGGAACGCGAAGAAATTAGAATAAGCATAAAGATTATAAATTCGCTCAACATTTGTAATACTTTCGTAACATAACACCACTTGCAACTGCCGTCTGATATAATCAAAAGTTCACATTTTTTTATCTTACAGAACAAGGGTAAGGATAGCTTTTAAATAAACTAGGTTTAAAGTACTCTCCGGGATCATGTATAGGGAGGTTTGAACGTTAATTAAGAAACGTGCCAACCTCAAAAAAATGTTTTAAGTTAGTTTTCAGTCATTGAAAATGCTTATTATCAATATTTCGTAGTAGAGTTAGTGAGGATCTTTTTTCTCGACAGTAATCAAGAAAACCCAGAAAACTCTCCAGAGCAAGAAAACTATTGGTTGTAATTTGTCTTACAAGGATACTTTGAACAAGTTTGCACCGAGTTACCGCCCGAACAACAATGACGATTGTAAAAAAATCGAGTAGCAAAATTTTTCATACGAAAGTGAGGCTTGCGGCTCGTCTGATATCCCACCATTTGTTCAAACATAATCAGAAGATGCCGTGCAACTTCCTAATTGATCTGATTGGAATAAAAATTACCCACATATTCCTCAAACTTTCTTTGAAACCTACAAGTCACATTATTCATTACCTAACTTGAACACATCACAAACATAGTTTTTTATTGGACAAGTGTTTTTCGATCATTACAAAAACTACATGACCCCAAAGGATATTAATTTGAGGTTTAATTAGTCTTAGAGCGATTGAACCCTTCTTGGTAGGCTAACAGATGGCGCACTTCTAGTTTCCTTGACTGTATACAGTGTTTCCAAGATAAAGATCTTATGCATGGCGATGTCAAGTTAAATTAAGAACCAGCTGCGTCCTTTAGGGTGTCTTTACGTGCCGTTGAGAAACTTGTAAGAATTTCATAGTTTACTGAGGTATTTGGGAAAAACTGAAATTTGGCCAAAACCTTTATTTTGAGGAATATTAAAAAACTAATCGAGCTTTTTCGTTGGAGCCATCATCAACTTTATTTTTTATACGAGGGATGTCTTTTAAGTTTTGCACATGGAAATAAAACAACACGGTAGGTAGTTTTAAACGACTTTAGATTTTTTCGAAGTATTCTCCAGGAAGATTAATACACATCTGCATGCGCTTGAACCAATTTTCGAAGCACTTATTCGACTCGTTTGTTGGCAGATCCAAAACGGCATTTTTGAATGCGTCAACTGCTCCTTCTGGTGACTGGAACCTTTGACCACGCAGTCTGTTTTTAATTTTCGGAAAAGTAAAGAAATCGGTAGGACTTAGATCGGCATTATACGGAGGATGGTCCAATAATTCCACGTTTTCTTCCGTTAAATACTGCCTTGCTTTTTGGGCTGTGTGCGAGCTTGCATTATCTTGGTGGAGGATGATTCTTCTTTCGGGGTTGATTTTTCGAAGCTCGGTGATGACTTTTGGCAAATAAATGGTGGTATACCAATCTGCAGTAATAGTTCTTTGCTCGTTAAGAGGAATTGTTGCAATATAATACGCTTTTGACACAAATGTCGCGACCATCTTTTTCGAAACACTTCGAGAACGGATGACTTTTGTTGGCTTTTCTTCACCTTGGAACACCCAAACAGCCGACTGTCATTTATTTTCTGGTTCATAACCGTAAATCCACGATTCATCACCACTAACAATGCTGTACACATTTTTTGAGTTTCCGGAATTGAAACGGTCAAGCGTTTTTTGAAAACCAATTAACCCTGACTGCTTTCTGCTCTTCAGTCAACAGGTGGGGTATCCAACGAGAAACTAATTTTCTTACTCCCAATTCTTCATGTAAAATTTTTTGAATTGAGGTCTTTGAGATCTTCAAGGACGCCTCAATCTCGCGATATGTCACATGTCTATCTTCAATGATGAGTTTGCGCACAGCATCGACGTTTTCCTGGGTGACCGCCATTTTTGGTGCACCCACCCTGGGATCGTCGCTAAGACTCAGCCGTCCACGTTTGAATTCTCCATACCAACGGGAAATTCTCGACTGATGTGGCGCTTCGTTCCCGAAAACAGACAGTAACTTCTTGTTGCGAAAATTGTCTCTGCAAGTTGTAATAAATTATGGCGCGAAAATGTTCTCGGTTGAGTTCCATTTTTCTAATGATTTGGTGACACTTAAAAGTTCACTGTAGAGAGCACTACACACTATTGCTGTGAAACTTTGAATTTAAGTTTACTAAAGAGTGAGGTTAAGATTCAGTACTGACGTTCGATCCGCGCGGCCTTCTATGTTCCTATATGCAAAACTTAAAATACATCCCTCGTATGGTGAGAAAAAAGTACACCGTGTATCTAATAGCATTTTTTCATACGAATTCAACGATGTATCATATGCTACATTTATTTTCGTCGTTATAAGGAAAAACGCGTTTTTTCAGATTTTTTTATACTGTCTAAGTAGGCGCTGCAAACAAATGCTTGAATTGACGAAAATACCTGTAACCGGGTATTGTAATTATTGTGTATTGCTAATATTGCTCATTTTAGTAAGTTAAGTTCGGCATGTTGACATGCTACACTTTGCGCTACAAGAATACTGCAGAAATGTAGTTTGATAAATTTCCCACAAGAAGGCAACCAAGCAAGTCCATTTTCTTAGAGTTGGCTCGAAATATAAATGAATATGGTGCTAGCAGAGATAATCTTTGTCCCCTTTTCATCCTCGGTATCGCATTGCATTAATCTCAAAGTGACAATATTTTGAAACGCGGCACGGGGCCGTTTCCGGAAATGCGCCGTCCGCTCGTGCTGACGCACAGGCCAACCGGAAGCGTATTTTTTCCAGCCCGGTACAAAGGTCCCGGAATCATATTTCCAACACGTGCCACCGCTCTTGGGGGCATCATATAGTCTCGACACACTTACGCCGATCATATCTTTCTCTCTATTATATATTTCGATGATGGATATAATGAGCTTTGACTCGCTGGAGCGATTTACATTAATTTGAGGGGTGGGCCGTATAATATCATTGTGTATAATATCAAAAGACCACATGGGATTTAGGAAATCCTAAAACTCAATACGCTTGCTTTGATAAGGAATAAAACACTTACAAACTTTTGCAACATGTTCAAGAAACAGCTTGAAAATCATACTACACAGTAAATTTTGAGAAATATTTGGTGCTTTTAGTTCCAATGGCAAAAGTGGCGAGGAGATATTGTACGAAAAATTTCGAAATTTACAAATTATGTTTTTTGGATGTCATATGACATGTCCATCACGAAAAACCATGTCACTCATTTCTGTCATTCTGTCTGTCTGTTGGTCTGTCTGTCGGTTTGTTCGCTAATTTTGCAACCGCCTATAACTTGTGAAGTACCAACTGTATTTTGATAAAATTTTCACACAAGGTTACTACTATGCCAAGGATGGAGAAAGTTTTTGAAAACATGTCTAGTGTTGGCAGAGCTAGGAGCAAACCCACCAATAATAATAAAAATTACATAATCTTAGATTTTTGACGTTTCAGAGGCATCTGACCATTTTCGAAATCTTAAGGATTAAAACTTGGGGGTTATATGTTGCGGGGGGTAGGGGGTTGTAGGTGTTCGATCATTAATAAGTTTTTGATACCCGTACCGGGAATATTATATGATAAAAGTATGTATAATGTGCTCATAATTCGGCAATCATTGGCATCGTCGGGGTGGCCACTGCCGACTATGCAATAGGTAGTAAACTCCAACAGGTCTGCGGAGGTGTCATCACTAAGACACCGCTACAAGAGAAGTATTAATACACTTCAGCCATATTTGGATATTAGGAGTACGTACCTCTTTAGCGTCCTGCAATGCGATACCTTTGTTAACTCTTTTTATACTCCAACTACCACAAACACCCATGGGTACCGTGGCACTATAGGGAGGAACAGGGGAAAATGGGGACGCCACGCGGTCTCTGGCGAGGGAACACGTGTGCATGCAACATGCACACATCCGCCGGGTGGTACCTCCACGTTGGACAGTCAAAGACTGTCTAGCACCAACCGACAATCACAAAATCCATAGCCAAGAGAAACATTTCTCTTGGGACGGGATTCGAACCCGCACAGCGCACGGCGATTAATCAGGAGGCCGAAGAGTCTACCACTGCGGCCACCGCTGCTGCCTGTTTTTATACCTCTTTGAATGTACCACCCATTACACTCAACATTTAATTTGTGATACTCTGTCTACGGTGCCTCTTTGAATATTTGGGCAAGTAGATTGACTCAGTATTTATCAAGCATTGGTATACAACAGACACGGACTGACAAACCGACATAAATGAGAAAAACGGACTTGTGTGACGCAGATATCTTCAGTCAACATAAAACTTGAATCAAAGTTCGAATATTATCCCAAGCTGAATAATTCCAGGAGTTTAGGGAGTCACAGATTTTGAAAATTGATTCAGCGGCCGCGGAAATAAAATCGCTGGAACAACTTTTCAGAGATTCCTGCTAATTTTCAGACAGTGTTTGGAGGGGGTGGAAATTGTAGGTTGTAAGCTGTATGCGGTAAATGGTTGTAAATTATTGCAAACTTTGTGACAGTGAAAGACCTTCTATTATTAAGAAGCTGCTGATCTCAGTGGTACTATGCACCTGTTAGACATCATAAGCCACTCATATTTTCCTTGCATCCTTGCATCTACCATGGAAACATAAACATGATAGCTTTGCTTTATATGGTTTGATCTGCAGAGGTGCGAAGAATCATCATACCTCAGTAAATCTACCCAATCAGGATTCGATTTCGCCTTTTGAAACAATTTGACATATCCATTTTCGTGTATACCTCCTCAACAAAGGCCTAGTAAGTATAAAGTCAATCTACTTGACGCCATTTTTAAGACTGCTGCCTTTAAGCATAACAAAAACTTTTATTTTTAGTATACTTCGGCTGAGGCTGCTATGAGGAGCTTAAAGAAACTTTGGTTAATCCGATTGTTGAACCGCCTAAGGTATGAGATTAGTAGAACTGGGAAAAGCCTCCTCAGGTTTGTTTTTCACAATCTCGATACCCAAGGGACAAACCAGCGGTCGTATCGGCCAGTTCTGGATGTTCGACACGGATATGATGGGATGCCAAAGTAAGACTGGTCTGTCTAACTGGCACATCGCGCGGCGGAATCATCGAGGACAGCTCTGAGGAGCAAAGCACGTTGACATAGCGGTAGGAGAGAGCTAGATTACCGTCGGTCAATTAGGACGGGTATCTTGCGGTCAGAGAAGAAACCAGTAACCCATATACAAGGTTTCTCTGGGAGGCCATAGAATGGAAGTTTGTATAAGAGAGAAGTGAGCTACAGCTGACCGAATGCGTTTGTGGCATCAAGAGCAACGACATGAGCCTTATCATGCTGCCTGTCGCTAATCAAGTCCTGACGTTCAAGGTGCTCCGATTTATGCACCTCTCCATCACCTTACTTTTTCTTTACAGATCATGTCATATGAGTTTAAGCCAAATTGTTTGATTGCGCAATGCATAGGCATAGTAGCAAACGAGACACGTATTCATCCAACCACTTTCCAGTCAAATTAGTGCAGGAAAAGAGTGATAATTGAAAAAGAGGCAATTACCGTAATGCTCCCCTCAACATGCTTATTATTTCGCATACGTACGCCGAGTTTGTTGGTGGCTGTTATAAAGAGATCCTGAGCAGTTCAAATTGGTCCGTCTTTCGTCAAGTTTGAATAATAATATAAATTCCTCGCTGAAAGTTTGTAAAGTTTAAGGGTCTCATTAGCTGAACGTAAAACACTCGAGACATTATTCAAAGAATAATAAGAAAAGGTTTTTCCAACTCCCTGAAACAGTGTCGGTACATGTATCAAAATATAAAACAGAAACATCGAAGAGCTGCATACTCCCATATTTTTATAAGCATAATAATCTTCAGATGTGAAATTCCATTTTTGTCATATAATTTCCGAATAGGCACTATTTTAAAGAACGCAGGCTGTACGACGTTTTGCAGATACGGGCTAAATAATAAAAAATCAGCTTACAAAAGCCGTTGATAATGAGTACCTCGAGCAAGAATGGAAGATTCCACATAGACTGACCATTTCTTCGCACCCGTGTCATCTTTTATTGAATTCCGTCCACCATTTCCCGTTTCTTAAATTTTTCACATTTTCCAATGATACAGTGTAATTTTAGGAGACCCCATATGAAAAAGTCGGGACGAGTCCGGAGATCGAATATGCTATGAATGAGGTCCTGTTTCTCCTAGTCAAGGTTCTCTGTGTTTCTGCAAAAAATTATGGAAAACCAAGCTGTGTAATGTAATAAAAATGAATATGGTGTATGCGAAACAGTTCACCAGGTTATTGGAGTAGGCATTGTACTCATACTCACTTAGAACCTTGTTTTGTGAAGAGATTTTCGAAGCTTCACATACGATTTTCTAATAAATAATAGCAATTGCGAAAAAAAACTGACGTGAAAATATTTCAATGGACTTTTAAACTTTTGCATCATGTACAAGGAACAACCTGTATAGAACACTTAATCTGTACAATGTTTCTTCAATGATCTTTGACAGTTTTTCTTAGTAGTCTTGGGTAGACAGCATCACTAGAACACCAGATAAAAGCATGAAGAACTAGCTCCTTAAATCAAGGCATTAGCTTGACCATATTTTTGAAAAGCAAGTCATCACTATTTTTATCGTCGTATGTCTTTTTTTCACAGAACAGCCTGTCTGGAAGGCTATTCTTAATACTTTTCGTCTGATTGTTTCATGTTGTGTATAGAGATGGCTGAAAAAGTTATCGGTTTCTTTTTTTTCCAAGCAATGCATTCTTTGTTCATTTTTATGCATTTTTTCTTCAATCGTAACTTAAGCAGCCCAATTTGCTTCAAAATCATATGTTAAGTAACTCAAAGATTTTTCAGTAAGAAAAAGTGATAAGAATAAAAATATACTAAGTGACATATAAATCCGAACATCCAGTTTAAATGGTTTATTTTAATAAAATTTTGTATAAGTACTTAATGAAGCATAATAAGTAAATGATAAAAATTTCAAAATGATTGCACTGCTTTAAAGCCCTTTGACCTTTAATAATGTGTGGATGCATTCTCCAACGCGCCTAGGC